TGTCTTGTAACTCAGTTGGGTGATTTCCTCAATCTGTTTCTTATTCATTTGCAGCGCTTCTTCCTGATTTCCCTCTCCTCTGGAATCTGGTTTGTTCTCTCCCACAGTAGGTTTGTTGCTGATGATGTCTGGCCAACGGATCCGAAGTATTTTGCGTAGACAACTGTTAATAAAAACTAGTATTTTGTGGATGATAGCTTTCGTAGTTCTCCAGATTTCCGCCCAGTTGATTTCATTAATCAATCAAACAACTCAATCAATAGCAACGTAGAACTTCGTACGTAAGTACGTCAGTTCAGGTTGCCATACCACATCAGCACAGAGGCGCAACTGTCAGTTCAAATCCAACAGTGATAGCAATAATAGAAGTATTAGCAGTAATGGAGAAGATTAGGGTTTGAATATATGATTCGAGAAGTATAATTCAGTGAGATAACTTTAGAAAGAGAAAGATAGAAGGATGAGGTTTTAAGGTTAGAATCTGAGAGAACACAAAGAGTGGGTTCACGTTCACCAGTGCAAACAATTTGAAGCAATGTGGTTCAAGGGTCTCTAACCATGTAGGGGTCCCTTTCGTCCTCCGGGACTCCAAACCAAGGTAGCCTACATCTGCTAAGATGACCTCAGTCCCAACTGTCAGTAACAATGATGGATTTCCTGCCATGGTTTGTTCATGGCCCACCCTTATCTTTCTTCCCAACCTACTCCCTACTACCGTGACAAAACATATCTCGTCGCGGCAGTCGGTGGTTAGCCATACGTAACACATGTCCCAATCACCTCAACTGATGTAGTTTTAATACTTCATCTATTGATTTGCTATCCCTACCTAGAACTCGTTTCCTAACGACAGCATTGCTTATACGGTTGTCCCATGATACACGAGCAATGCTTCGGATACACCTATGATCGAATACTAGTGGCCTACGAATATTCTCTACTCTTAACGGCCATGTTTCTCATCCGTATAGTAGAACAGAATGAACTACTGTATAGTACACTCGTCCTTTGATTAGCAAGCGGATATCTCGCCTGCGCCATAGGTGATGCAAGTTGGCTACCAGCTAGGAAGTATGTAGTGAAACTCCTACGACATAACTTTATTCGACATGATGGAGACACAATCCAACTAAAGAAACAGATAGCGACAGTTTAGTTAGTTAACTAAACTATTAGCAAATCCAGTGAATATTGTTTGATCTTTAATCTGGTGAAAAACTCATATCATATCATTTTATATATATGTTGGTGAAGCTCATCTATAACACTTTGATTAAAGATTGATTGTATTAGTGGAGTAAGTAGTAAGTATCATAGGGAGTGGTAGTCAGTACACAAATTGATGTTACATTTAGACTATTTCGAGTTGATATTCAACTTTTAGTTATCATACGTTTTTATGTTTTGTTTGTGAACGTGTAAAACATTTTATGCTACAATTAATCTTACTACATGCATATATCATATAATGCGGTATTATTATTTGGCCTTTGACCTTAAATTAACAATATTTAATACTTGACACAACAGAAGAAAATTATATCACAACACATTACAACATAACACTAACAACGTCACAACACATCACATGAGAAACCAAGTTGATAAACGAGCTAGAGAGAGAGCATTAGTTTATTAGAGTGATTGACTTGTTGTATTATAATTTTGATAAACAATGTTGATGATGTATTTGTGGTGCGAGCTACTTATATAGTAGATATATGACGTGATTGTCAACGTAATGTCTGGTGGGCAGCAGAAGATGGGGGAGATATCAACGAAAGGATGAGGTTAGAAGAACACACAATGGAATTTGTATGAAAACGCAATGAGAATAGTGACACATGGAAATTGGATGTTTTCGCAACAGGAACAGTTCCAGTTCGATATGATTGATGGACTGAATCTTTTGCTAAGCATTAAACGATTTACGAATATGGTTGTTCCTCTTTTACTGTCGAGTAACTCTTGTAATGTTTCGTTACATACAATCCGGTAAAGCCCCTACCTGCTTGTTCTCGTTCCACATACAAATGATAGGGAGATAAAGTAGTTGAGCGTGTGTTGGAGCGTTATCATCTTCATCTCTTGGAGTCGAAGTCCTCTTATCAGTGCTGGATAGTCTGATGACTGGACGAAATTTTCAGCACGCGTACAGAAAGACTCGTTTGGTTTTTGCCAATTGCATCACTGATGGTTTAGGCAAGATATCCGTCGTGTTGGCTAAAAGGACAAGTCTACTAGCTTAGCAGTTTCGCTTGATCTTAGTATATGGGTATGAAGCATGGCCGGTAAAAGTAGAGGATATTCATAGGCTATTAGTCATTCACTCTTAGCAATATATTCGAAAGCAGTTGCTCATATTATCCTGGAACCATTGAATAAAACAACGTAGAGTGTAGTGTAAACAGGCACTA